CCGGGGATCAAACCCCTGGCCCCTGTGCCTGCTTGCAGGCACTTTAATCTGCTGAACTATTTGGCTGACCCAAGACAGGGTCTTGCTATGCAGTTCAGGCTGGTCTTGAGCTTACTAAGTACTCCAGGCTATCCTCAAACTTGAGGTGTTCCTCCTGCTTCAGCCTCCTAAGTGCTGGGATTACAGGCATGTGCCAGTATGCAAGGCCGAGACCTTTTCTTTCTGCCATTAGTTTGCAGTTACCATCTCCCATCTATAGGAATTTGAATTTTGCAAAAGGTAGCCTCAGATTACTGGGGTGGAATGCTTGCCTGGAAGGCACAAGGCCGGGGGGACGCATGGAGGGAGGTGACACTGGGAAATACAGGAGCAGTGCCCACAGGAGGGAAATACTTTTATATGCTGTCTCTAGGATTGCAAAATGACACAACTCTGCTGGAGGGGAATTTAGCCATGTAGCAGAACTGTATGCAATCACAGTTTTGAATCTACCCCAAAACTATGGGCAGCAAAAATACAGATGTGTAAGAGTTCTTTGTAGCACTACCTATGGTGGCAAAAGACTTAGAAATAACCACAGATGCTCCCAGCAGAAGGTTGGTTGAATCATCTCATACCTCCATCTACTTTTTTTTTTTTTTTTGAGGAACCGGGGAGTAAACTCAGGCCCTTGCACTTGCCAGGGAAGCGCTTATTGTACTGAGCCGTCTCCCCAGCCCCCCTCCATCTTACAGCTGTAAAAGAGCTGTGAGGAGATTCGGTGTATGCTGTGGCAGATCCAGCTCAGAGATAGTTGGTAAAGTGATAATAGTGAGGTGCAGAGAGGACATGTCGTATACCACATTCTAAGTGATCAGTTATGAGGGGAGAGTAAATGCAGCTGGCCTTATGTAGCCACAGATTTGGTTGAGTCGCGTGGAAAATGTAGTTCGGCCTGCAGTGCTCATGTCTGCTGTACGTGCACAGACTTTTTTCTTCTTGCCACTCATCCCTGAGCAATACCAACAGTGATTTACGTAGACTTCATTTTCTGAGGTGATAAGCAGCCCAGAGAAGGCTGGGATTGCACAGGAGGGCGTGTGTAGAGTACATGCAAGAACTGCTGTTTGATGTGATGGACTTGGACATTTATAGAGTTGGGTGCCCACAGAGACCCTGGTGCCTGCACAAACCAGGGACAGCTGTACCTGTACCCATTGTTTTAAAAGGAAAGAAGGCTCAAATGTATGCATTGAACCATCATAAGGATGAAAGCACTACAGGCCCTGTGGAAAGTCAGAAGATCATCAATATCTACCTCAAAATCTTTACTCGCATAGGATGGAAAACACAAGAGAAATGGACAAATTCCTAGATATGCATGAATTACTAAAGTTGAATAAAGGGACCGGGGAGCTAGCTCAGTGGAATAAGCGCTTACCTGGCAAGCACGAGGGCCTGAGTTCAATCCCTGGTTCTGCAAAATATATAAATAAATAAAGCTGAATAAAGAAGATGTAAAACTTCTCAGTAACCTAATATAAGTTAATGAAATTAAGAATGTAATTAAAAGCTTACTGACAAAGAAGAGCCCAGGTCCTGATGGATTCACCACTAAATTCTACAAGAAATTTAGAGACGATTTAATGCTGATACTCTTCACACTCTTTGATGAAATTGAGAGGAAAACAATCCTCTCTACCTCATTCTTGGAGGCAACATTACCGTGATACCAAAACCAGAGAAAGACCCAAACAAAGATTACAGGTCAGTCTCCTTAATGAACATAGTTACAGAAATCCTCGATACAGTACAGCCAACTGAATTCATCAAATCATCAGGAAGATAATACACTGTGACCAGGTGGGATGTATATCAGGAGTGCAAGGATGAGTCAGCATATGCAAGGCCAGAAATGGAATATACTGTATCAACAGAGCCAAAGACAAAAATCACATGATCACCTCAATAGATACAGAAAAACCCTTTGATAAAACCCAGCACTCATTTGTAATAAAAATCCTACATAAAATTGAACTGGAAGGTTTTTTTTTTAAATCTCAATTTGATAAAAGCCATCTATGTGGGCCAGGGAGATGGCTCAGTGGAATAAGCGCTTCTCTGGCAAGTGCAAGGGCCTGAGTTCAATCCTCAGTTCCGCAAAAAAAAAGCCATCTATGACAAGCCAACAGCCAATATCATACTATGACCGGCGCTGGGAAAAGACGAGAGGGAGCTTCCTTCTTAGTTCTCGATCTCTTTATTTTCACGTGTCCTCCTCCCTCTTTTCCTTCTTCCTTCCTCCTCCCTCCTTCCTCTAACCCCTCCTTATATCCCCTTCCTGGACCTATCAGTGGGCGCCAAGTACATCGCCTGACGTGGGCAATAGGCCAATAGTCAGCTGCCTCGTAGGGCTATGCGAACCA